GAAAGTCTTCCATTACAGGCAGTATTTTGAACTAACCCTATTAGCATCCTCCGTACAGTCTTCTCGTGAAGAGCCAACAGACCTTGTGAGTGACTTATGCTGCACCTGTGGAGATAACAGTTGCAGGCTGTTTGCTCTGGCTGCCATCCCTTGCCCTATGTTTAAGCCACCCTCTGAGCCCTTTGACCTCACTCTGTCCCGGCTCACATACATAGAGTGTCTATGAGGGCGCTGCTGTGAAGAAAAAGGACTGGTATAACCTAGACCATAGGAAAAAGATTCATGTGGAGCAGACAGCGACTGAGAATGGCTTCCATCCACGTGATCTGGCAGTTTTAACTCCTCCATTGTTTTGGAGTGCCTTGTTGATGGTCTTCGGGTGTCCAGGGTACCCTCACTGCGGTTGTTCCTCCCAGATGGACTGAGCAAAGTTCTGTTATCACTGTGTCGGGGAGGAGTTGGACTGGTAGGAGAGTTCAAGTCCATACAGCTGGATGGAAAATATCTACTGTTGTTTGGTTCTGCAGCTTGAGCCCTGGCTTCAGAAAGATTGCCCACCGATTTTGAGTCCGTCAGAACCCCGTGACTCTTTGACTTTGTCCGATACGAAGGACTCTTAGAAGACTGTGGAATAGTATCAATATAGCTATGGCGACTATGCTTATCACCGGGTTGCAGTGTCCCAGTCTTGTTTTGAGAAGTTTCCATAAATGAGTGCCGGTTCTGCTGAGATCTGGTGTTTGACTTCAGGTACTTTGTACCTGAACCATCAGAACTTTTTGAGTCCACATTAAAATCAAATTCTGTTTTTGCCTTTGCTTCCTTTGGACTGAGAAGATGTGGCATGTTATTATTGGCTAGATCCTTGCTGCCAGATCCAGGTGGGTTGCTTGATTTTTTTGTGTGCATTGGACTATGTGCAGCTCCAGGGAGGTTTCCATTTAAAAAGCTCTCATTTGTTGGAAGACCCTCTTCTCTTGGCAGGCCAACCCCTAGAGTCTGTATATCCTTGCTGTTTGATCTGTGATGTGACTGCAAAGCAGAACTTTTGCTGGCTTGATTTCTACATCAAAATTCATAAAGAAGGATTAATATACCAGATAACAGTCATGTATTAATAACCTCAACTTTAATAAAAACACACTAATTTCAAGATGGAGGTGGCTTTAAAATCACAAAATTTAACTGTAGTGAGATCAAATATTGCCAGCTAGAAAGCAGGAACTCCCCCAGAATAACAGCTTTGCAAGTATTAGTACACTGTTGTTTCTTATTGGCTAAATCCTGATGGACAGACTCACCTTTGGTTAACCTTTTAAATACAACCTTAGAAATTCCAGCGTATCTATTTGCATGGTCATGTGCATGTGTGAATAATATATATGTAGACCACTAACGTAAGCACTACATTATGAGAGTTAGCTGCATATCCATCGAAAGAATTCTTAAAAACACTTGGGTACCAAAGTTAAGGTGGAACAATCAAACATGCCAATATTGACATAAACACTTATACAATCAATGCTCTGTTAGCCAGGTAACGTAGGTCTGAGGGTGGGAGGGTGAAAAATAAGAGTGTATGGTGCTGGTAGAGACATCCAAAAGGAACGTGGCTGAGTTCCGCATGGCCTAGCAAGCCCTATAGGACAACCAGGTCTCCACACAGGAACCCTGACCTCTGCAGAACTTGGTACCATCCCAATTTTTGGCATACTAGCTCATCCCCAAAACCATACCAGACTTGCTGGAACCAGATAAACTTGGTGCAGGGCCACTCAATATCTCCATTGCACCTTCCAGCTCTTCTGGTTTTGGAATTATAGGACTATTATGGGATCATGAGTTGGTTCTGCAACTTGAGTTTAGCAGCATTTATCAGCTCAGGTCTTATGGCAGTTCTGCTTCTGGACTTATGCTGGCCCTGGAAACAGTGCAGCCATGACTAAGCAGTGCTGTGTCTGTGCCTGCTAGCCTTGATGGACCAAGGCTGGTTTAGCTCAGAGCTAATTTACTTACCTCTGCATCTAATTCTATCATAATCTAGAATTTGGATATAATACTGAGAAATAAACTGAGGGATGACTGTATAGACAAGTTCATACCTTTGTTGACCTTGTTAATAATTGTAATTAGATAATATCAGTCGTCTGATAGTTAGGACTTCTGCATCATCATCTACTTTCAGCAAACTAATTATGTGCTCTATTATAGTCCATATAAGTTTAGGAATTTTAATGTCAAGTTAAAATATTTTTTAGTTAAAAGGACAGATACTTTCCTTTACTTTTAGCTTAGAGATATAAGGACTCTAGTAATTTTAAATCAAGCAGGTGGGCAAAGCTTTGTATCAGACAATAAGTTTCCTATGGGCTCAGGCTTTCCTTTCTGATGCCTTGGCATCAGAATGGCAAAACTTCTATCCTAAACATTTACAAGGGCAGCTAAAACTTTTTGGTTCCTGTCTCACAGCCAGTAAAGATTGTAAATGCCATAGCCCCAGATCTTAAAATGAGGAATTTGGGGGGGGGAATTTCAGAGGAGGAGCTAATGAAAAAGCCTAAAGGTCATCTTCTAAAGCATGCAGAGCAATAGCTGCTTTTAATCCTAGACATGTCTAGACGCTTTAGAACACAGCATCTAGGAAAACTTTTGTTAGAGGAACATGAGGTTCTGCGCGCTGAAGAATTTCCTTGAACAATACGGAACAATATGGTTCCACAACATGGAATGACACAAATCCATATCTGTAGCTATCTACCTCAATGTGCCTAAAGTCTTGAACAACTACTTCACTTTTCTTGAAGATGACCATGGATTTAAGCACGACAGGAACTCACTCACTGGCATAACAAATGACAGGTTCAATAGCCACATGACTGTATTTACCTGTTAGATAACGTGTTGCTGTCTACATGGTAAGGCTTTCTCTTAGTTGATCGCGAAGGTGAACTTCCACAGCGATCCAAGAGTCTTTGAGTTTGAAATGAAGGATGGTTCAAACACTGTTCTGTCAAATACCTATCTGCTGGATCTAGCTTTAGCAAGTTCTTTGGAAAACAAACCCCAGAATTTAAGTGTTAGTATCTGTATTTGCATCAGCAAAAACTAAAATAAAGAAAAGAATGTTATCAGGATAGTTTTTTAATCTCCAGATTTTCTGTGATTAGACATAAGTGCCAGAATAATGTAGTGTTATATTACCAAATTACAAATAACACAAGCAAAATAAACACTCTCAAAGGACTATGTTCTATTACAAGTGGGAGGCCTCAAACTTACTCACTTTGAATATTACTACTTTTTTTTAAAGCATACTTTTCAGGATATACCTTACAAGAATATTGTTTGGAATGAAAAACATTAAATTTACCTGTAATAAAATGGTATCAATGAAACAGGCTTTATGAACAAACAGGACAAGCATATGAACAGAATATTCTTATTAACACAAAAATATTCTTTTGAATGTAATATTTTTAAAAATAAAGGATTCTGATTATTACTTCAGTAGGGGTTCAAACCCATCTATATTTTTAAAGAATAATCTAAAATGTTTAGAATGCGCTCAGAATAGCACATTTGTTAGATCTGTTATGCTTCTGAACACAGAGACTTTCTGACATGTAGAGAACGAACATTAAATTATAACATTAGAAACCAACGAGTTGGGTATTTTGAGAAGTTTGAAAAGTTTCTCATAAAACTTAAAAAGTCTTGGAATATTTCAACATGCATGATTGTCAGCAAGGATAAAAGTTTGAACGACTATAAAGAATAGCTATTTTTTAAGGGTTATATAGGTTGAACAAAGAACAGCCTTATGTGCATATATATATGCGTGTGCGCGCCTGTGTGCATGTGTAAACTTACACACATACACAAACAATCTTTATCTACATATGCATTAAGGTAGCATTTAATCACTTGACCACACACTAGCTTCCCTTCACAGGATCCCTGCACTTCAAAATGGAAAATGCTCAAGAAAAAGATCAAATATTCAACATTTCTATGTAGTTTTGGCATAAGATATGCAGTATCTGCCTTTCCCAATTGATAAATTGTGCACTGAATCATTAATTTTTTCCTAACTTTTTTTCTGGTGCCTATCACTACAGTGTCTCAAATGGC